AAAGAAAGAAAGAAAGAAAGAAAGAAAGAAAGAAAGAAAGAATTGATCTTTGGGCCCAACCCTAGACCTGTGAATCAGAAACTCCAGGTGTGGAATTCAGTGATCCGTTTAACAAACCCTCCATGTAACTCTAATGTTTGAGGACTATTGCTTTAAAAAAGTACTAAGCCCTTGTTCAACACAGAGCATCTGTGATTTGATGTTTGAAAATCCTTTAACAAATGCAATAAAATCCATTAAATGCAAGGAAATTAATTCAACCTGGGACATAAGTGAATTGCTCAAAGAAAATAATGAAGACCTAAAGAGGGAAATAAAAGGAGGAGGAGCTAAATTAGATTTGGCATGGGAATGGCCCATACATGCAGCCTTAATTAAGAACCAAAAATGTCCTCCAATTTTAGTATATGTGCTGCAGAGGTGAGCACAGAATTAGTGATAGTTTCATTTGGTAGACTAAATGAGGAAGAATGCCAATGTTAAAAAAATAGTATGGGGGCTTCAGAGATGGCTCGGTAGTTAAGAGCACTGGCTGCTCTTGCAGAGGACCCAGGTTTGATTCCTAGCACCCTAATTGTAGCTGACAACTGTCCTAACTCCAGTTCCAGGGATCCCAATGCTCTCTTCTGACCTCCTCAGGCATTGCATAACCCCGGTGTACTTACATACATGCAGGCAATACACTCATACAAATAAAATAAGTTTTGCTTGTTTGTTTTGCTACAGGGTCTCCCTGTGGCCCTAGTTGGCCTGTAACGTGTTCTGTAGACCAGGTTGGCTTCCATCTCACAGAGATTTGCCTGCTTCTGCTTCCTGAGTGCTGGGATTAAAGCTGTGTTCCACCATACTCGACCTAAACATAAATCTTTTAAAATTAAAATTAAAATTAAAATAAAATAAAATAAAATAGAAAAATCAAACAGTAAGCAAGACTAAAAATTCCAGAAGTAGATTCAATTGTTTTAAGGACATAATTTGTGTAAAACTAATAGGGAAAGGAATTACTATTTCATACAACTAGTTGAACTATTTGTTTTCTGTTCATCTTTTATTCATAGAATATATACTGAATATGTACTCTATGTCAGTCCCTGTAGAGTCTCTATCCTCAAAAACCTTAAGCAGAGCTGGACACAGTGGCTCAGTGGGTAAAGGATCTTGCCATGAAAACCTGGCCGCCTGTTTCATTCCTGGAGCCTACAAAAAGATAGAAGGAGATAATCAACTCACAAACTTATCCTTTGATCTACACACACACACACACACACACACACACACACACACACACACACATGCCATGGCACATGAACCTGTACTCATACATCATACACATACATACACATAATCATAATCACAATAGAAAACTTTAAAAAATATTAAACAGGCCAGGCGTGGTGGCGCATGCCTTTAATCCCAGCACTTGGGAGGCAGAGGCAGGCAGATCTTTGTGAGTTCGAGGCCAGCCTGGTCTACATAGTGAGTTCCAGGACAGCTGGGGGCTACAGGGAGACCCTGTTTCAAAAAGACAAAAAAAAAAAATTAAACAAACCCATCATCATATGGTGTATTAGCATATACATGGAAACTCAAGAATGATGGATGAATGGATGGGTTTTCTTCCCTCTTTTAACCATTTATGGAAACCTCCAAAATAAGAGCCATAAGTTTTTAATGTTTATGTCAAATACTTCATGTATTAATCTAGCACCACAGTAACACCATGAGTTTGGCACTGTTATTATCTGTATTATATAGATGGGAAGTTTGTGACCATGAGAAGCAGCCCCAGGTTTCAAGAATTCCTTAGTGGAGCTGGGATTTGAACCAGCTCTTTCTTTCCTCAGATTCCATGTTTGTAACCCCTGATGGTGCACTGCTTCTCAGTGTGTGGCCTTAGAACAGACATTCTGTCCACAAGGACACAACAGAAAACCACTGCAGGAAAAAGCCAATTATGGCAGAGCTGTAGAGACAAGTACATTGGGGGGAGGTGGGGAAGTGAAGTCTTCAAAGGGGTTTGAACTTTTCTAGAAAAATCTAGAAATTTTCTACAGTAAGCTAGACTTGCCTCCCATGGTATACAGAGATGGCAGCTCCTCTAAGAAAGAAACACAGGACTGGATAATACCTCAGGTATGGGGACTCTGTCTGGGCCCTTTACTTCAAGTCTCAGTTTCCTCCTCCACAAAACAAGACAAAAATGAAAATAAGAAAGCAATCACAGGTCAATCTCTGAGAGACGTGATTAGATCCATTCATTCATTAATTGATTCATTTATTTACCACACCTGTGGTAAATTTATGCTTTACTGGTTCAGTCGCTGTGTATATATTGAGTACTGTCTGCCTTCTGGACATTATGTTGGAAGTGCAAAGAGAAGGAAGGCACGATTCTTGATGTTGAGACTCTTGCAAGTAATGCCATCTGTCTTGGTCCTTCTTGTGCTAATATGTCTAAGATTGGTTCATTTATAATAAACAGAAATATATTTGGCTTATGTTTCAAAAGCCTGGGGAGTCTAAGATAAAGAGGCCACATCTGTTGAGGGCCTTCTTACATCATTCCATATGGAAGTTGGAGTAGCTAAAGAGAGAGACACGGAAAGGGCAAGAGAGGGCTGAGCATATGTTTATAAGACATCTACTCCTGCCATAATGAACCACTCCCTCAATAATAGCATTACTTCATTCAAGAAACAGAGGCCTTATGACCTAAAAACCCCCATTAGGCTCTACCTCCCTACACTGGACTGAAGATTATGCTCCAAACACATGAACTCTGAGGAAAGGGTCAAACCACAGCACTATCTCTGTGAAAGTGTTTAGTAAACGTCAAAGCACTATAAATAGCATTTTTGTAGCATTATCTCCCTCACTGGGGAGAGGAGAAGGAAGAGTGATCCTAGTCAAGTAGCTCAAATGCTGTTTATAGAAGCAAAAATTTGTTGTCAACATGAATGCCCAATGACAGAAGAATGGTCAAGCAAGCACCACTCTATGACTCCTAAAAATCTTAAAGATGGCCTGGAGAAGTGGCTCATTGGTCAAGAATGTTTACTGCTCTTGCAGAGGACCCAAGTTTGCTTCCCAACGCCCATGTCTAGTGGCTCACCTCTACCTGTAACTCCAGCTCCAGGGGATCCAGTGCCCTCTTCTGGCCTCCATAGGCCCCTGTGCACCAACTCACACACAGACACATACGTGTACACATAATTAAAAATAAAATTTGTAGGCCGGGCATGGTGGCGCACGCCTTTGATCTCAGCACTCAGGAGGCGGAGGCAGGTGGATCCCTGTGAGTTCGAGGCCAGCCTGGTTGGTCTCCATAGTGAATCCAGGCCAGCTAGGGCTACAGGGAGATCCTGTCTCAAGACAATAAATAAATGAATGAATGAATGAATAAATAAATAAATAAATAAATAAATATTTGTTTTTGCTTTTGTTTTTGTTTTTGAGACAGTGTCTCCCTGCAGCCCCAGCTGGCCTGGAATTTGCTATGTAGACCAGACTGGCCTTGAACTCACAGAAATCCATCTGCCTCTGCTTCCTGAATGCTGGGATTAAAGGTGTATGCCACCATGCCTGGCTTAAAATAAAATCTGAAAAAAATCCTTGAAGACCCTTATTCTTCAAAAATAATCATAGTTATTGGCAATTTTTTTTTAAATTTCTGTTTGGAGATTGACCTATTTGGGCTATCAGAGATGACAGAGACAGAGGAAACAGTCACCCTACAGAAAGCTGAAAATAGTTCTAGAAAATATTTGCAAATAAAACCAGCTCAAGGTGGTAACTAGGCCCAAGTCTGAATCACCACAACATTGGCACAAACTATTGGAAAAAGGGGAAGGGGAAATCAGTTATGTAAGTATTTGTCTGTGAGATGACAAAGCCTACTGCCTTCAGCCCATTGATGTAGGGGATGTCCTGGTTTTGGGGCTACATGGCTGACTGTTCTCCCTGCCTGCCTAGGTATCTGATCCTCACTCTAACTTTTATTTCAGACTACATCAATCTGTTCAGCACAAAGTGTCACGGATGTGATTTCCCAGTGGAGGCTGGTGACAAGTTTATCGAAGCCCTGGGGCACACCTGGCATGACACCTGCTTCATTTGTGCGGTATGTTTCTAGCCTGGTGTTCCAGCTATCTGAGCTGGGGACAGAAAGGACTAAGTGGGTGTTAGATAGCCAACCCCTGATATACAAGGATGAAATGCTGTCGGTCTGATCCTCTCATTCTTAAAAGCTGACAAATGCTCTATCTTGATATGTCACAGTTGAAGAAAGTTGTATTACTAATGATTTTATACAGACCAATGTGGCTTGTTGCTTTTCATTTCATGAAGGACACTGAAGTGTCCTAGGAGTCCGAAAACCAGAAGCTTCTCTTCCCAGAAATAGATGGGAGCAGAAAATGATGGTTGAATTTAAGAAAGGCAGATGGCTTCCTGAGATTATATGCTGCTTTTGTTATGGAGTGACTGCAAAGCTCTTCCATGAACACCAGTCCTCAACCTATTGACTAGTCATATGAAAGGCAGAGATAAGTTTCTTTTGATAGACCCTTTAGAAAGCAGGACTGAGTATCATTTTCCTTTCCTAAGTGGTCCTGTTCTTGATATGCAGCTGCCAGGAGATAAGCCTCAGATTAACTATTAACTGTGTACAGTTTATTTCTGCTGAGCAGCAGGTCACTTTACTAAGTGACTGGCCTTTCCTCCAGAGGGTTTTGGGTTGGGATGAGGATATGATTCTGGGCCTAACTATTTAGACTTTGAATGGAAACTGGAAATAACCATCCCTAATAAAGTCCTGTAATGTCAGTCTAACTGGCTTTTATTTAGAAAAACACATGTACTATTACCATTTAATAATAAGAGTTTCTCAAGGTGAATTTTAAGAGTATAGCATATCTGTGGTGTTTTGGTGCTGGGGATGTAGCTCAGTTGGTAGAGTATTTGCCTACTGAGGATGAAACCCTGGGTTCTATCTCTAGAACCATATAAGCCACCAAATGTGTTTAGCATGCTTGTAATCCTAGCCCTTGGGAGATGGAGGCAAGAGGATCAGAAATTCAAGGTCATCCTCATCTACATAGTGAATTCAATGCCAGCCTGGGATATATGAGACCCTGCCTTAAAATACATGTATATATACAAACATAGAAAAAAGAAAAGAAGAAATATCTGTGCTGCTTAAGCCAGAATAATCTTTTAGAGATTTAGGATACAGACAATCCTGGTCATCAAGTTTTGAGTTCCATACTTCACTTCTTCACCCCCACATTTATGGGGTGCATTATGTTCACTGTGTATTAGTTTCCCAAGGTATAATAACATAAACAACAGAGAGGTAGTCTCTCTTAGTTTGGCACAACAGAAGTCTAAAACCAAGGTGCTGATAAGGCAGCCCCGCTTTCTCTCCTAGCCTGTGGCAGTTGCTAGCCATCTTCTTTCACTAACAGTTGCATTATGCTGGTCTCTGCTTCTATCATCACAATGGTGCCTTATTTATTTATTTATTTATTTATTTATTTACTTATTTTTAGTAATGGGCTCTAGCAAGGCTAGCCTGGAACTCACTATGTAGACCAAGTTAGCCTCCATCTCACAGAGATCTGCCTGTCTTTGCTTTCCAAGTGCCAGGATTAAAGGCATGGACTACCATGCCTGGCTTTTTTTTTTTTTTTTAATGACCTCATTTTAACTTACATCTTAATTATATCTGCAAATGTTCTATTTCCAGACCACTGCTAATGACTACTTGGTAGACTGGAGGTACTGGGATTTAGGATTAAAATGAATATGAATTTGCTTTGCTTTGTCTGAGATGGAGTCTTGCTATATTGTCCCGGCTGGCCTCAAATTCTTAGGTTCAAATGATCCTTCTGCCACAGCCTCCCAAGTAGCTTGGACTATAGGTGTGCACCACTGTGTCTAGCTTTAGCATATGAATTTTGAGGTACATAATTAAAACCTTTGACACTAACATTCTTTGAACAGATTCTCTAGTTGCTTTTTAAAGCCCTTTAAATACATCAGGGCCTCTCCTCCAAAAAAGAGATACTGGTGTAACAATCTGGCTTTAGGATGGTCTCTTGCAGAGTAGGGCCCAGAATGCCACAGCTTAGAGCCCCTGACTCTTATTTTTCAGCTATGGCTTGCTTGATACTGAGACAGTGATTACATGTCTGAGTACCCCATGTCTAGAAGGATCCAAGAGACTTGGAAAAAGTCCAGGAAGGCAGAGGCACAGAGGCCTGTTCTCTGAGGGCAGGCTGATGAGAGAGAGGGCCATGTTACATGGAGAGGAAGGTGTGGTAGAGCTCATCTTGTGTCTCTTCCCTTGAGCCTGTCATGTTGGGTTTATAGTATAAGTTCTAGAAGAGGTGGGAAGAAGTAAGATTTGGGATACCACAAACTTCCAAATAATTAAGTCTAGTCAGGGATGAGAGATACATACCAATATGCAGATTTGCCCAAAGAAACTGAGCAGATCTTGTTCCTTGGAAAATAACATGGAGATTGTTAGGTCTTCCTCTAAACCAGCCCCATGTGGCACTTACTGCCCTACAGAGACACTGCAAAGTTGAACATGGTTCTAATCTTTGGGAAGAAATCTTTATGTTGGAAAACTTTGAGGTCCATCCTCCTCCTTCCCGCCTTCTCTTCCCTCCTTTCTTTCTCAGTGCTAAAGATTGAACCTAGAGCTTGTACATATTATACAACTGCTCTGCCGTTTAGTTTCATCCCCAAACCAGCATGCTGCTGCTGCTGCTTCTCCTCCTCCTCCTCTTCCTCCTCCTCCTCCTCCTCCTCCTCCTCCTCCTCTTTCTTCTGCAAGGTTCTATGATTTTACATTTCCAAATCACTTTTTTTTTGTCTACTAAGCAGCCCAGGAGCTCTGAATTCATTACATAACCCAGGATGGGTTTAAATTCCTAATACTCAGCCTCCTGAACGCTAGGATTGCAAGCATGCACCATCAAGTCTGGCTCTAAATGACTTTGTTGTTTTTGTTTGAGATAAAGTCTAGCTTGCCTGGAACTCCTATATAGACCAGGCTGACCTCATACTCATAGAGATCCACCTACCTCTACTTCCAGAGTGCTGGGATTGTAGGGATGAGCCACCATATCTGGCCTGGCATTGCTAGTGTTTTATTTGGTACTTTTTTTTTTCCATTCTTTCATTTTTTGGCTACCCTCATGTAAGGTTTATTAAAAGTGACAAAAACTGAGGGCTTTTGTATTATCTATTTTGCTGCATTAATAGGTATCTGGTGCTATCTCCGGAAGGTTAAATACCTTCTTTTTTCTTTATTTAGTGAGGACAATCTTGTCTGAATTTGTCTTAGTTTACTAATAGTATTTGCTTAGATGATAATCCTTTTTGTGGGTATTGATCTATGAATTTGTATTGGTTGCTTATATACTTTGGATACTATGAATTGGGTATTTTTTATCACAGACACACTATTCCATTAGACTTAATTACTTTGAGTTTTTTTCAGTGTTCTTCTTTGGAAGACTTTTTCCTATCCATTTGTTTATTTTTTTAATTTATAGACAGAGTTTCCTATAGCTGAGATGACCTTGAACTTTTTTGTTTTTATGTGTATGAGTGTTTTGCCTACATATATGTAAATGCACTCGTGTCTGCAATGCCCACAGAGGCCAGAAGAGGGCACAAAAGTCCCTGAAAGTTATTCCCCCATTGTTAGTCACCATGTGGGAGCTGGGAACCAAACTTGGGTTCCCTGTAAGAGCAGCCAATGTTCTTAACCTCTGAGCCATCTCTCTAGCACCAACCTTGAACTTTTGATCCTCCTATATCCACCTCCCCACTGCTGTGATTACAAGTGTGCCCTATCAGGTCTGGTTTTTATGGTTCTGGGAATCAAACCCAGGGATTCATTCATGTGTGTTAGGCAAGCCTCTACCAGCTAGCCACATCTTCAGCCTCCTGGAAGTATTCATAGTTGAACCTATGTACTCCTCTTCAGTCATTAAGATTTTACAGTGGTCAAAACCAGATTGCATTTTCTCCTGGCTAGATGCAACAGTGAATTTTCCTAAAAGGATGATTAAAATACTTTGGGTTTTTTTTTTTTCTGTAAGACAAGAGTCTCACTATGTAGCCCAGACTGGCCCTTGAACTCAAGGTCCTTCTGCATCAGGCTCCCAAGTGCTAGGATTGAGAATATGCTCTACTGTGTCTGGTCTGACTGAAATCTTTTGCTTATATCTCCCTGCCCTATGGACTTCAAGACCCCCTTCTCACATCACTCTGTTCTCCTTCTCAGGTCTGCCATGTGAATCTGGAGGGGCAGCCATTTTACTCCAAAAAAGACAAACCACTGTGCAAGAAGCATGCACATGCCGTCAACGTGTAGTGGCCCAGAGTGTCTGATTCAGCTGAGGCCCGGCTACTACTGACAAAGGATTCAAGGAAGCTGATGTTTCTTTGGGGCAAAGGGGAAGAGAGGAAACAATTGAGCCCTTTTGAAGTATAATTTTAGTCTTTCCTAGTACACACAGATTGTGTATTTGCATAGTTCAGACTAGAAGCCAAAAAGAAGATTCTAAATGAAGCTAGTAATTAATCCAAGACTGGAATTGCACTTCAGACATTTGGGAAAGGATTCCAAGAACTCAAAAGTGAAAAATGAAATGCAGTGTTCCTGAAGTGATACACCTCCCCTGCCATCACCCTCACCAGTGTAGGTAGGGGCAGAGCTCTGGGCAGTTATGGAGAATCCAAAGCATGCAGCAGAGTTCTGAAGCAGTCCTTGGCAAGCACAAAGATGTGCCAAACAGAACTTGCTGCTGGGTATTTTTAGAGCTGTAGCTGAGAGCTCCTTAGCTAAGACCCATTGGGCTTTCCTCACCAAAAAAGGAAGTGTTATTCCATTAGCATTGCAGAGCCACCTCTGCACATCAGACTTCAGACTTTGAACAAGCCTGAAGCACATAATGGGAGCCCAGACGTCTGAAGGGATGTCGGGGAGCCACTGGGCAAATGGCGAGGCTCCAGGAAGGTCTTTGGCTAATGCTGCTGACAGCTGAGAAAAGATGGGCCCTCTCTGCAGCTCCCCCTCTTTCAGTTGAAACATCCAATGACCCTGGAAGGCTTCGTTCCTTTTCGAATTGTGATGAGAAAGTGGAATTGGGTTTTTCCAGTATTGCTTTGCAATGTGTCAGAGGAAGTTTTCAAAAGTCTCTGGGTTGGGTTTAGCCTTTGTTTTGCATTAAGAGGCTCCTGGGTATGAGAGTTCTCTGCATGTGTATTTCATCCCCTACCCACAACCTCTCATTTACAACATCTTCCTTAGCCCTACTCCGACTCCCACCCCTGAAGAGACTCGGTGGGAAAAAAAGGGAGACAGTGTCTGACACAGCATGAGCAGACCAAGCTAGCATGCCCAACCTGTGGGTGAGGAGAGGAACTTCCTTACTGCCAGCCTCAGGAGGAATGCACAGACTGCAGGATCTCCCCCTTCAGGGCTGTACCCTTCTCTTTACCTGTTCCTTTAAATGCGTCACACCAGTTAGATAGATGTGCTGACTGCTGCAAAATAATAATAATAATTAATAATAATCGGTGCATTTGCCATTTGGGCCAATATTTTGAAAATGTACCAGCTGCGTTGATCTGGAGTACTTATTGAAATAGACTTGACCTTCAAACTCCTTTACAGTACAGGTGGTAGCTGGAGTTAGGTGAGCATGGGGACACTATTGAGTAGTAAAGGGAACAGCTTCCTTTCTGAGGGAGAAGATGGTCTGGTCTCTTTCCTTTCTAGGAAGTACTGTTAGGATGGTCATTGAAAATGGCACTCCTGAAGGGCATGTGTGGATGTTTCCCTGGAGCACAGGATTTAGGCATTCTTCCAACTCATTGCTACTCCCTTCTTGCCCGTTTTGGATTTTCTCTTTGCACGTTTGATGTTTTATAGGAATGTATTAGGACTCTTTTCTTTTGAGAACTAAGCCTTCCAGGGAACTGCCAATCTCTGTGGTCTCTTCTCCCAGGAGGACCAGGAAGCAGTCAGCTTTATCTTAGCAGGAAGTCTGGTTTTTTTGTTTGTTTTTTTACCCAAGTGTGAAGCCACCAGTCCCCTCTAGGCAGCCCAGGAAGGGGTAGAATTGTGTTCCTACCAATGGACCCTTCTTTACTTTTGATGAAAAGTTCTAGGCAGAGTGAATTCTGCTAGGACAGCCTGGAGATTTGTCAGGAGATGCAGACCAGTACCTTGTGCAGTCTATTATTTTTAGAAAGTTCACATATAGAAGAACAGGGAGCTTGCTGACTAAACAGAAAGGGTCTAAGCAGTTGATTTAAAAAGAAAAAAACAAGCCAGGCGTGGTGGCACACACCTTTAGTCCCAGCACTCAGGAGGCAGAGGCAGGCGGATCTCTGTGAGTTCAAGGCCAGCCTGGTCTACATAGTGAGTTCCAGGACAGCTGGGGCTACAGGGAGACCCTGTCTCAAAAAAAGACCAAAAAAAAAAAAAAAAAAAACAAACCCAAAGCCAAAAACCAAAATAACAACTATCTATTAAATGATAGGAACTGGTCTTCAGGAAAGAGAAAAATAATCCCTACAGTTAAGTTTCCAAAATTTCTTTTTAAAGGTTTTTACACACACACACACACACACACACACACACACACACACACTCTGCACCTGTGTGATCATTATTGTTTTGGGTATGATTCTTAAGAAGAAAAGCAAAGTATCTCAAAGGATAGCTTACTATCATTCTATATTAATTACTTGGGGGGGGTTGTTTGCTTTTTATATTTCAGAGTTTATATAGCTTCTTGAGGGACTCTTATTTATCAAAAACAAAACAGTTTAGGGGTTGAGATTGAGAATTTTCCTAGCATTCAGGAAGTCCTGGCTTCAATCCCTAGTACTGCCAAAAACTTAGAGGAAAGTGGGTAGTTTTGAGTGTGGTACACAGGGGGAGTCTGGCATAGTGCTAAGATGAAGGCTATGTGTAGTTCAAACTAACATCACAGGCTTCCTATAACAACAAACTCAGTCTGTAACAGTTCACAGGAGCATGTTGTGGCTCCACAGCTCTTGTCTGCTTATAGTTGGCACTGATCTACTGCTGAAAAACACTTTTTGCAACAGAATGGCTTGTATCTGCAGTGTTTGTGTTAGAAGTCCAGCTTTGTAATCTTAACTTGTCAACCCAGATAGTCTTGCTATAGAATTTTTCTCTCCCTTCCTCCCCTCCCTCCGTCCCTCCCTTCCTTCCTTTCCTTTCTTTTTTCATTTTGGCTAAGTTTTCCAAAGTGGAATGTAGTGAGTTAGAAGTGTGCACAAAACTATTTTGCATGTTTTTTGTTTTGTTTTGTTTTGTTTTGGTCCATGTGGATTCTTTATAGCAAAATAAAATTCAGAAAATGATGTGCAAATGCAGCTTTTTTTCTGTATAAAGTTCTTTCATGTGTAGCTTCATGTAGAAAGTAGCTTCCACCTAGATAGCCACAAATAAAAGTATGAGACAAGGAGCTGGACAGAGGGCTCAGCAGTTAAGAGCACCAGCTGCTCTTACAGAGGACCTGGGTTCAGTTCCCAGCACCCACATGGCTGCTGATAGCCATTCCTAACTCTAGGTCCGTCTGGCCTCTGTGAGCATTGGACACATAGGCACACTCACATGCAGACAAAAGACTTATACACATTTTTTTAAAAAAAGATGAGACTAAACTGCCCTGCGAAGAAGAAACAATTCATTTGGCATGCAACTCAACAGCAACTTAATCACTGTATTTCAACAAAGTTGTGTGAATAATACAAATGTTCTACATATAAAAGGAATTAATGAGTCAAAGACCAGGCCTTGCTTTGTTTTTTTGGAAAGGTGTATTTAGTACTTGCCGGCCAGTATTTCATATTCGGGCCTCGCTGTGCAGCCACTGCCTCTTTTGTCCTTGGATTCTGGGCACAGCGGTCACATTCATTTTTGCTTATTGTTACATTTTATTATTTTTATTTTTTAATTAATTTTTATTTGATATGTTTGGATGTTTTGCCTGCATGTATGTAAGTGCAACCATGCTGTGCATTGCTCACAGGGAGCAGAAGAGGGCATCAGATCGCCTGAAACTGGAGTTAAGAATGGTTGTTAGCCACCATGTGGGTGCTGAGAACCAAACCCAGGTCCTCTGCAAGAGCAGCCAGTGCACTGAACCATTTCTCCAGCCTCTATTATTTTTATTTTGTATTTGTTTATGTTCATTGTAATGTGCATGTGGGGTTAAAGGACAGCTCCTTCCACCTTGTGGGCCCTAAGTATCAAACTCTGGTCATCAGGTTTGAAAGCAGGCTCTGCTACCCATTGAGCCAAATCATTGGCCCAGATTCACTTTTTTAAAAATTATATATTTTTTAAATTTATTATTTTATGTGTATGCGTGTATTGCCCGCATGTAGGTAAGAGCACCCATGTCATGCAATGCCCACGGGGACAGAAGAGGCCATCGGATCCCCTGGAACTGGAGTTACGGACAGTTGTTAGCTGCCATGTGGGTGCTGGGATTCAAACCCGGGTCCTCTGCTAAGACAACCAGTTCTTAACCACTGAGCCATCTCTCCAGCCCCACCAGATTCACTTTTAAAAGATTTATTTTTAGCCAGTGCACACCTTTAATCCTAGCACTTGGGAGGCAGAGGCAGGCAGATCTCTAGACCAGGCAGGCTACCACACCCAGCTCCTTAAAAAAAAAAAAAAAAAAAAAAAAAAAAATTTTTAAAAACAAAAAAAAAAAAAAAAAAAAAAAAAGCAATAAATGAAGGGACAGAGGCTGGAGAGATGGCTCAGTGGTTAAGAATGACGGCTGCTCTGGAAGAGGACTTGAGTTCAGATCCCAGCACCTATGTGAGGCAGATGACAACTATCTGTAACTCCAGCACCAGGGGATCTGACACCCTCTTCTGGACTCTGCAGGCACCCACATACATGTGGCACACACTCACACAGATACACACATATAAATAAAAAATTTAAAAATAATAAAAATTAAAATAAAGGGATAGTATGGAAGCATAGCTTAGTGGTAGAGTGGAAAATATTTGAACTATTTTTGTCTAGCATGAGTGAGGTACTAGGTTTTCTTAGTACCACAAAAGAAAAAGAGAGGGGGCTGGAGAGATGGCTCAGTGGTTAAGAGCACTGGCTGCTCTTGCAGAGGACTCAGGTTTGATTCCCAGCACCCACATGGTGGCTAACAACCATCCATAACTCCAGTTCCAGGAGATCCAACATTATTTTCTGGCCTCTGCTCCTCAGGCATTGCACCACATGTGATATGCTTACATATATTCAAGCAAAACACTCATATGCATAAAATAATTAATGCCGGGCATGGTGGCACACACCTTTAATCCCAGCACTTGGGAGACAGAGG